TGCTACATCTTTGAACCGACTTGAGATATTCTATTAGTGTAATCAAATGTGATATTTTGTTCAAGCATATCCACAAAAGCACACACTTCTGATTTTTTTCCCTAAGCAGACGGCTTTTCTTTTGATATTACGTGACCAAGTGAAAATGGAACATAATTATACGTTTTACTTGGACTCTAACATTTTCTCAGTAACGTTGCGCTACACATTACTGTATTCTCCCGTTGCAACGCACGAGCACTTTTCCTAGTAAATTGATAAATAGCCCAACAGCCTATTAGTAGTTCAATTGTGCACCTAACCCTAACCTACACGCGAGGTCGCTCGCAGGGACTCTGACCGCCGCCTGTCTCCTGAATCCTGTCTGAATCTGATCGTCTCCAACATCTGACCGAGCTGTGATCCTGCCCGAATCTTAACGCGAAAGGCGCGATCAAGCCCACGGCCAAGCGCGGCGATTCCCGATGTCGCCCTTCGGGAAGTTCGTGGTCTGCTTGACCCTGTTCGCCGCATGGCGCCCCCGCTCGACCCTGTTCGCCGAGGCGCCTCCAGCTGCATCCTTCGAAGTTGGTGTCGACTCTGCGTCCGCGATCGGGAACGCATCGTGCGTCGCACTCGCCAGGGAGGCCGGCGTCCGGGCGGAAGGTGGCACCGGCCGCAACTTCGTCACCTCGCCCCTGTCCATCCATGCGGCGCTCGCGATGGTCGCCGCCGGCGCGCGGGGCGACACGCTTACAGAGCTCCTGCGGTTCCTCGGGTCGGCGTCGCTCAACGAGCTGCACCGCGCGGCGGCGACCGAGCTCGTCGGCAGGCTCAACGGCACAGCGCAGACGTCCTTCGCCAGCGGCGTGTGGGTGGACCGGAGGTGGGCGCTAAGGCCAGAGTTCATGGCCACCATCGCGTCGCGGCACAACGCCACGGCGGAATCCGTGGACTTCGTGTCGGGGGCCGAGCAGGCGAGGCAGCGCGTGAACGCCTTCGTGGCGGACGCGACCAACAAGCACATGCACGAAGTCCTGCGTCCGGGCTCCGTCGACTCCCGCACGGCGGTCGTCCTCGCCAACGCGCTCTACTTCAAAGGGGCGTGGTCTCAGCCGTTCGACGCCTCCACCGCGCCGTTCCACATCCCAGGCGGCACCACCGTGCGCGTGCCATCCATGACGACAAGCGAGTCACAGCACATCGCGGTCTACCCGGGCTTCAGGGCCCTCAAGCTACCGTACAAGAACGACGTGCAGCAGCAAGCTGAATTCTACATGCTTATCCTACTACCGGACAGGGACACTGTCAGTCTTGCCGATCTGTTTGACAAGGCTGTGTCTACGCCGGAATTTTTCAAGACGCACACACCGACAGGGAAGGTTCCAGTTGGGCGGTTCATGGTCCCCAAGTTCAAGTTCACATCCGAGTTTGAAGCGTCATCCGACATGCGGAAGCATGGTGTCACTAGGGCTTTCGAAGGCGGCGACTTCTCGGCATGGTGACTGGCGGGGAAGAGCTTGTCATTACCAGGGTGCACCATAAGGCCACCGTCGAGGTGGACGAGGTAGGCACCATGGCCGCCGCTGCCACGGCAGTCGTAATGGGGGTTGGTAGTGCGGGTCCAAGGGCACCACAGGATCCGGTCGATTTTGTGGCGGATCGGCCTTTCTTATTTGCCGTGGTAGAGGAGCGGACAGACGCAGTGTTGTTTCTTGGTCACCTGGCTAATCCTCTGGCTCCTTAAATGAATAAATAATTATTCTGTAAATTTGTTCGCCGGTCATGTGATTAATCGTGCCACCACCTTCGTGATGTGCAGGACATGCCACAATGCTATCTCTCGCGACCGTTAGGCCATATCGGCAAAAAGTGGAACCCATGTGTCATCAATGTGCTCAATATTCTCATCCTTCGATCAGTGATTTAGGCAAAAAGTTTACCGTAAACATACGTTTTTTGCCAAACAAAATCATAAAGTCAGCCTTCAATGTGGTGGTTTTATGCTGTTAACTCGACGAGGACTAACGTCGTCGTTGAGATGTAAACTTTTCTTATAGATCTCCACATGAGCTAAAGATAACAAAACAAAAATTATATGCAATGTAATGTGTTGTTTCTCGGTTAGTATTCAAACCCCATTAAAGATGTGTTACTACCTCTTAGTGCGGGCTAATAATTAATATCTTTCCCAAAAAACAGTATCATGAGTTTGTTGATGCAAAGCAACCATTCTTAAATACTTATACTTAATTAAAAATTAGTCGCTCGAGACATCCGATCGTACTTTGTATACAAGCCAATGAGCCAAAAAACTGTTTGGGAGATTCCAATCCTTAGGGATTTGATTCATAGTATTGCAATCCTAACATTTTTTTTCCTTCATAGACTTCATTTGTACTCTATTTTGAAGGGAAAAGAATTCCGTCTACTCAAACCTCTTATAAAAGTTTATTTATTTTCTCTGCGGTATCAAATACTTTTTTATCTAAATTCATGTAATTTTATAATCCTATATAATACAGTAGGACACGTGACTGTACTCCCGTGTTTTTCCTATTCATGTATTTTGAAAATCCGGCCAAAAGGAAGAAGGGATGATCTTACTGGCAGAGATAAACAGGAGAACCAAACATGACAGAAATTTTCTATACGACAAGAAAACGATTGATAGGTGATGATATATACAAAAACTAGCTAGCTTGGTTATGAAAAGTCCTGGATTCAAATCGTGCGTTTGTGATTGTTTTTTGAAATGTTTGATCCGCAGAATCAAACACTCATTGTCAGTCAGGACTCTAGACTCATGCAAAACCGCTGAAGGAGAACTTGTTGGTTGAGGGGTAAAAACTCTCAGAGAAAAAGTTTCAAGCAAGGCGTTAACGGAAGGTAACGCTACCATGTCACATACCAATTAGGGCTCATTTGTGAGCTAAACAAAGGTGATGCATGGTTTCGGACTTGGGCGCTGATCTGCGCCGGCGCACCGGCCTAAGTTTGGGCCGGTCCGCTGCTGAGCGTTGGATACGTACGCGTGAATGGACGAGATTGCTGCGACCAAGTCATCTTCTTCCTCCCGCACGCATGCGTAAAGACAGGGAAAAAACGAATCTCGCCGTCGCAGCTCGCCGGCGCCGCTCGTGCTCGCCCTTGGCCGCCGCATCGCAGCTCGTGGCGCCGCTCGCCATCGCAACTCGCCGGGGGCACCGTATGCAGCTCCGCCGGGCTGGTCGAAAGAAAGACGTCCCTAGCTCCGCCGGGCCAGGCGTGTCTCCCTCCCTCTGGTTGCAGCACCACCGGTGAGGGTTCCAGCATTGTCGCAACCCGCCGTCATAGCTTTCCGCGCGCCCGTCGCAGCACCGCGCGCCATGCAGCTCCGTCGCCGCTGCTCACCATTGTTAGCTAGCCGTTCTCGGTTTGAAGCTGTTTTAGAAACGCGTTGTAGCTTTCCTCCATGTCGGTTGCAGCTTTTTGCCGCTGCGCGATGCCGACCTCCAGCTACCCCGTATCCAGTTGAAGCTTTTTTCAAAGCTGGTTGTAGCTTTCATGGTTGCCGGAAGTAGCATTTTTCAGCACTGGTTGTAGCTCTGACGTACATCCATCGAAGCCCCCTGCTTCCTTTGATCCCAGCAAAATATGTTGTGGGTTCTAGCTCTGGATTTGCTGGTTGTAGCAAAAACAAAAGCTGGTTCCAGCTCTGGCTTTGCCGGGACAAAAATCATTTGCTGGAAAAGCCATTGCTGGTGGTTGCTTCCGCCGGTCGCCGTGGTAGCAAAAAATCTTGCCGGTAGAAGCTTTTGCCTCGTCGTTTGCAACAAAATGAGGCGGCCGCGCATGTCGATGTAGAAAATACTCCAGGCGATGCACCAAAACTAAATGTTGGTTCCAGCTCTGGGTTTGTCGGTTGCAGCAAAATCAGACGCCGGTTCCAGCATCACCTGTGTCGTGGGTGTGTGGTGTGCCTCGCCCTCGCAGTTATGCAGCTCGTCTGCCGGAGCTGGGGGATTGCTGGAGCTGGAGACGGTGCGCTGGGAGAATAGCCGGAGCTGCGGATAAGAGGTGCTCGTGCGTGTGGGGAATCACCGGCCGTGGGGTGGATGACGACCTCAC